TCAATAGTTTTGCAGTTGGGTGATTGGCTGGATCTATTTTGATATCCATAGTAGTTGGATTTATTCTGATACTCAAAGTACATTTTTTACTATGTACGAAGAACTATGATGCTTTTTCTAGATCATAGGAAGACTTCTTTGACAGTACCTACGTAATGATGAGATGTTATTTTAAGGGTTTTGAGGTTGGGTTCTAGGTTTGTTTGTTTTATATAAGTTGTTTGACTCTTATGTTTAGTCAATAGCATATGTGGTACTCTTTCCTACCATGGGGTTTTGTTTTCTCTGAGAAGGTTTTAACGAGACCATCTTTAACATGCTAGTTCTTACAATGTATTGTTCCTTTTGATTTACTGAAATTACATATTTTCTATAATTTTTTTTAAAAAAACCAAAAAGTATGGTTGCTTATATTTCTTCGCTTGTTTTCATTTTTTTTTTTTTAAAAAAAAAAAAATTTATAATAGTTTGAGTGGGCTCGGTTGTGATTTGTGGGTTGCTTTTAATTTTTTATTTTTTTTTTTTTGTGTTTGGGTAGGCATGGGCTTTGTATGTTTCACATAATCACATGGGCTGGGTAGGAAAAGGTATGATTACATATAGGTTTTTTTTTTTGTTGGGAAAAAAATTGAGTAGGCGGCTACCTACCTTACACTTGCTGTAAGACCGCCCCTGATTAAATTGGCTTTAAGAATTGCAGTGTTGTAGAGTGATTGTGGTTTTGTGCAAAACAAATTATGTTTTTTACAAATACACTCTCATGCTTTGGAAATCTTCGTAAGAGGAGATAGGCCAGAACCACTCAGGAAATGGGCTAATAATGACGTATGACTAGGCAAGAGAACAAAAATTGATACGGTGTTGAGTGGGGTCGAAGTCATCATCATGATTGAACTAACGAGAGATGAATGTGGGAAGGTGTTAGGCAAAGTCATAACAAGAGAAGTTGTAGTCATTTCTATAACGGAAAGAGCCATCACTGTCAAAGGTACCGCCGCACACTAGATGAAGGATTAGCTATTGACACATGCAACCTACACAAAAGTATAAAGGACTCATATTGGGAAAATGTGGTTCAAAGTCATAAAAATATCTAGGTGTAAAGATGATACCATTGGGTCAAATGAAGGAGGTAAAGGAGAAGATAACTGAACCTCGGTCATCGTTTCCCTCAGCCTTGACTTAGCAACTGCTTGTTCAGCTACATTCCTTTCAAGATCCGCCTGTTTTACTAGGTGCTTTTTCTTACCTATAGAAGCCAGATAATAAGCAAACAAAAGTCATCAACATTGTCACGACCCGATCCGAGAATAAAGAATATTCTCAAATCAGGGTGCATGAATTAAATGAAATAAAATAAAAAGACTGAAAAAAATGATTAAAATACATTTCCTTTATATATAAAAAAACAATAATAATCTTACAAGTGTACAAGACATAAATAAAATTTTATCACTCTAAACTAATCTAACTTCTCTGGTTTCATATTTGTCTTGCCCACTACTTGATCTGAAAAACAAAATAGGTGAGGGATGAGCAAACCACCGCTCAGTGAGTAGATTATGTAATATGCCAGTCAAACAATGTCATTTTACACACTCTAGAAAATATAATAAAGAGATACACAATCCAAATCATATCACATCATTACTTCATATCTTGGTTATCCTTCACAAATTGTACCCAGCACGTGATCCCTATTGGCCTCACTGCCCTATGTCCCCGTCTGATACATTTATCATTCGGATACCAGTCACTGAAGTTCTCATATTCCATGAATAATACGTACTTCACAAAAACTCCAAATAATATATATATTGTATGAAATATTGCACAAATTAGACATGCTTGACTTGAAAATAGA